TTTTACTTATGTATGTGTATTCTACTATGTTGCGTATCGTTTAGAACAGGCGGAATCTTTAATGATATCGTGGAATCAAATTTCTTTACGTCTGCCATCAGATTCCCATCAAAATCGATCGTGGTAGGTGTTTGCAATATTTTGGTATTAGTGCTGCTAGATTTGTTTGCTATTGTCACAGCTTGAATTTGAATATTATACAGCGTTGATGGAAACAAATATAATTCTTGTTTATAATAACGCGCGTAATTTTTAAGAACTTTTTTATCAGATACTATTGAAATGTTCTTCGTCAAATTTGAAGATACTTTATGTATTTGGATAAAAAAATACTGCAGGTGTTTGCCTGTCTTCCAAGGATGATCCCATTTTACGTCAATTACATTATTGTTCTTGACTGTCAAAGTGAAATTCCCAGGTGTATCTGGTGCTGAAAAATTATACGGTTACAGTATTGTCTAATCAAGGCAATTATAAATTTAAGTTAGTCATATTTTAATGTTTTTTTAATTAGCATAATATTAGCTATATAAATGATAAGCATAATGCTTTTTAGCATTTTCTGAATTATATAACAAATTATATCATGACATGGATTTGTTAATTATAATAAGAAAAACCCGTAAATTATAATTATGTACAAAAATTATAGTTTAGCTATAGTCTATGCTTAATTTAAAACGCATTTGAAATTTTACAATATACTAAGCTTTCAAGTTTTTGTTGAATGATGAAGTCTTACTTGTATTATCTAGCATTGTGTTGGTAACATTAACGGGAACACTTGATTCAGTAACATTTATATTGTAGGCTAAAATCTATAAAATTTGATGCAAATTATATTAACTTTATATTTTTCTTAGATAATTTTTGTTTATTACATCACATTTATGAAACACACACGCGCGATTTTTTGTAGACACGCAAAAATATTTTTTTTTTACCTGAATTTTTAAATGTGTAAAATTTATAGTAGCGCAGATGTAATCATTCCACAAGTCACAGGTGTTGTTAACATTAACTTCATATTGGTTAAAGCAGCTTAAATTACATATTCGAATGACGTAATGACTCAACCTTCCATTCGTAGGTGGAACTAGACTTTTCCATCTCAAATGTATCATTTCACGGCGATGGCGGGTATCAATTTCCACAACATCCAGATTAGTTATCGGAGGTGGAGCTGTTATTTCCATCATATATTTGTGATGTTATTGAAAATTAATAAATAATTAATTAAACAAATTAACTTCATTAATGACATTAACTATCGTCACTATTATTCGATATTAATATTTGTGATAAATGATACGAATGTGTTCATGTACCGGATTCCTTCGTCTCAAAAGTTATGTTTGTACTTGTGCCGCCATGTCGCGAATTGTGAGCTGTGACTTGTGCCCTGTAATTTGCATATGGCTGTAAATTCGATATTGTGATTGTTCTGTGAGTTGTCCATTTTTCAATAGTATGATTACTTGATTGAAATTCACCAACATCCGTACAGCCGTAGTATTCTTGAATCTGGCATTAAAAAGTTATTTACGTGAGTAATGCGAGCTCGTTGCAAGTTGGCTAAATAAATATCAAATTAAAGTGGTCTTTTGGCTTATATTTATAAAAGCTATACTGTTATAAACTAAATGTGAAAAAAATTATACTTACTTTTAACATTACACGATACTGTACTATTTTTCCATTTGGTTCTTTTGGGGCCCTCCAAGTTAGAGTTATGTTATTGCTGGATAGCAGAGTTGTGTGAAGATCTAATACTTCAGATGGAACTGTTGATTTTGTAGAATGCAATGATTAAATTTATATGTGCATTTAGAACGATTAGATTTATATGTGCATGAGAATGCATTTTATATTTTGTATATATATGTGTTTTTTTAATATTATTAAACTCACCTCCTTCAAGTGTATGTATTTCCTTGAAAAATAATGTTTGATCTTTATAAAATATGGTTACGTTGTATAAAGTGTGTGATGTTAAAGATGATACTTCAACAAGGAAAAGATATAGCAGTTTCATTAACAATTTGCTCCAATTTATCAACACGGTTCACTATGAGGTGATATTTATTTGCCGGACATGGATATAATTGCTGGCACAGAAAAGCAGAAAACAAGTTAGATTCTGTTAAAAATATTTAAAAATCAAATATACCAAATGCAAGAACTGGTTAGTGAAATATCTACGTACTTGTTTGTCGATTCGGCAGTTAATCATCAGGCTTGTTTCTTCTGTCGTTACATTGAAATCTCGAGTCGCTAAATGATTACAAAATACTTTAAACAACACATATAAAAATTTATTGAAAAAACTATGCTAGTGTTATTATTAAGAGTTTACGAGTAATAAAATTGTCAGTAAATGACTTTATCTTTACATATTTAGTATACGAAAAGAAACTAACTTTTTCTTTTTAGTATACGAACTTTAACATATACTTTATGTCTCTCTTTATGTCTTACAATGAATGTATTGCAATGCATGAAATTTTTTGAAGTATCTAAATATTCTACATCATTATAATATCAAACAATGATAATTTTGTTTAATAAAAGATTCAAAGATTATGTTTTATTATATTGAGAAAATAATAAGTACATTAAAAATAATTTAAATGTGTTCATCAAGGATTGCATACAAAATTAATAATGATCTTACGATTGCAATCAGTCTCAGCTTCTTGCCAGTCGCTGTGTACTATCGACTCCGCAATCTGTAAGCTGTATCTGATGTGATAAATAGTACGAGGTTCTAAATTTTTAAAACTGCTTGTTAAATGCGTTGTATTTGGAAATATTATATTCCAGCTTTGAGATTCATGATTTTTACTTAACTGCTTCTGTAATAAACATATTTGAAAATTATTTATAATAAATTTAATGAATCTTGTAAAATAATTTTTTTTTTTTATTTTTTAAAAATTATTACTTTGAAAAATATTAAGATTGCAAATTGTATTCAATTATTAACCACTAAAAGAATAATTTTCTCATTATCTAGAATATTAATAAAGCGTAAAATTAACGTCATTTACCTGAATAGAGAAGAAATAACGAATTGCTGCATTTTTGTATTCGTCTTTCCATATTATAGGAACTGTGGCTTGAATACTTGTATTGCTCGTATAGTCAATTTTAAGTAAGACGGAAGCATTTATTGCTTGAAAAAAAGAAGATAGTACATTGTGCATTATAGTCTTACATATTATCTCAATAATAATTTATATCTGATCTCTAAGTATAATTTGAAAACGGTATACTATGCATCATCAAAAATTGTTACCAGTTTGACACAAAGGGTGTATGTATAATTTTTTGTTGTCTTTTATTGTATTATTGCATCCTGCAAAACAAGCTCCAGTTACATGGTCACACAGACTCCTTCCAAAATTAAATATTTTATTGCATGCACCGCACGTTTTTTTGCAGTTATGTCCATATTTATTTCGTTCACAAGCTGAAAAAAGCAATTGATACTGTTAAATGTATACAAGCTTTGTGTAAATAAAAAAATAACAATAACAACAATATTATACATTACTCACGATTAGAACATGTGGGTCCTAAAAAACCTGGAAGACATGTGCAACCGTTTTTATAACAAATTGCGTTTCCTTTGCAGTCAAGCATATTATTATAATATTTGTGAGCCAATAAGCATTGAGGTTCTAGCTTTCTATTTTCACAATTTTCATCATCTGAAAGAGAGAAAGTGTAATCTTATTTATTATAATATAATTTTATTTGTGTACTACGTCAATTGCACAAATATTTTATGAATAATGATGATAATTTTATTTAAAAAATGTATATATATTAAGACAAATGTTTAATTATTACCTAATGCAACATCTTCTGTAGCAAAAAGTATAGCATTCACAACGGTATGTTCATTATAAAACAGTTTCTGACATGTTAGAAACTCTTCCAAATTATCTTGTTTCACTAAATCTTGATTAATAAAAATAGAACTCATTTTCCAAGATACTAAAAAGAAATAAATTAGCAATATGTAACGAATATATAAAGCAAGAAATTGATGTGTTTATAAATATAAAAGAACCAGAAGTTAAAGGTTTGTACCAGTTGAAAGACATTCACGAATGTTTGCTATGGCCCACAGTGGATTCGAGGTGATTATGCTAAGTTTAGGAATCACTTGAACAACTAAGCTACTAGTCGATGTAAGATTTTTCTTGATTATGCTGATTGCCACGTAGGCAAACCATGAATTGCGGGCTTTAATGAGCCTTTTGCTGTTACCATCTCTAACACTTCATTACTTGTAGAATCACGTAAGAATACTTGTGCATCGCACTCTGCACAGAGACCGATAAACATTTGTATGCATACCGTTGTACCGTTGACTTTTAAGATAGGGCTCGTTAAGTTTGCACCTGTAGTAGTCGTGTGCAGAAAATCGTCTGAAATAGGTATTCGTGGATAATTTTTTGTTTTTTTTATCGCTGTATATGAAACTATTTTAATTAACTGAAAGTTTAAAATTTATTCACCCACATCGATGAAAGCGAAATAACATTTTATCAGTGCTTCCAATAAATACTTGATAATCCAA